CTGCAGAATCAAGAATGACATCAGCTACTTACTTTTCCCAACTGGCAATAAGATTCGTGCCAATTCCATTGGTCAACTTGGATAGTTTCGCTAGGAAATCCACATCGTCCTGTGCGGGAGACAACAAAACAAAGTTGTGTAAATATTGATCCACTTTGATCTCATAGATCCTTTACACCGTAACTCTAACTTGATTCAATGAGAGTTCCACACTTCAGATTACTGCCATCTTCCTGCCCCCTTCCAAAATCTGCTCAAAAGGTTCCAGTATCATACCTTAGAAACTGGGCATGAAGCAAGTTACGTACTGAAATTATCACGTTGAAATGTCTCATTTGTGTGCAAGTGAAAGACTCATTGCAGTCTGTCATGCTTTCAATATTGGATGTCTGAATGAAAATACAAGGTGTCTAAATTCAACCCTAGCTACTTCAATTCAACAAGTTTGGGCACTGACTTCATGAACAGTTTTGTCAAGAACCTTCACGAAGCTTCTAGAATCTTCCACTGTGTCCGAGACCATTGGCACATTTTTGAAACTGACATTCGAGAGCTGTTCACATTCCCTGTGCAGCAATAGTTGCGAGGATCCACCTTGCTGAATCCTGCAAACTCTGCCCAACACCCCGTAGTGAACTCTGAAGGATCTCGCAAGGGTGGGATTCACACATCCTTTTTGGCTGAGAAACAGCCACGACAAATTCCACGGTATCCTGCTAGAATGCTCCATGTCCCTGGGAGACATGAAGCCATTGGACACTTACATCAGTCGGTGGAATGACCCCTGAATCATGCAGCACTTTCGTAATGGACTCCACCAGCTCTGTCTTGGCCACGGGATCCATCCCTTTACTGATGATCTCGTGGAAGCAGTCACAGGCGCTCTCCCGCAGGACGTCGACGGAGAGGTAACGGAGCAGCAACGACACAAACCGGTCGTTGGCAATGAGGTTGATGTCGATCCAGGACACATAGGCTCCGATGACCTCCAGGCATAGACAAGTCAGTTCGGGGTTTGTGTTTCATACATTTTCTGTCAATCAGAAATGGGACAGAATTACCTCCAATGGATACCATTTATCCACAGGTTTGTATTTCTTTGATAATTGCCACTGTACAACAAAGACTGTGATTCGTGATCAGGCTCGGGCATTAGTCGTGTCCATTCTTCTGAGCTGGTCTCCAACGCACGTTTAAGGCCAGCCAAGCACATAAATTGTATTTATGGACTTCTTTGAGACAGACCAAGCACATATTTATTCCCATTCATAAATACCGTTTTAGTCCGAGAGTCAAAAGAAGTCAGTGTAGGATAAATTTCCAAGGATTTTGTTCATGAATTTTACCATCATTTTCCCTAACACCCCCCGTTAATGTTTTGGTGTATTCCTTGTGCAAGAAGTCCACAAGAATCTCCATATATAGACTTCAAGCACGCGTGGCAAGTTCTGCATGGGGAACACAGACACATGACCAACAGGAATAGATTAACCCATCTCGTATCCAGGTGCAAGCACATTTTTATGCAGCGGGCATTATCAAATCGCAGCGGCATTATCAAATTGTTGTACCCAGTCACGTTGCACATTGTTGAACAGGGAAACTGTCTCAGGTATCAATAAATAAATGTGAAAAACTATGACGGCTTACTAGTAAGCACAACTGTGTAACTGTCACTTCTGTACTGGTTTTGAATGCACACCTATCCAGCTTGTACTTACTGTGGCCCAGGCCTGCACAGCAGTCAAACCAAATCGATGTGTAGCAGGTTTAACTGTAGCTCGAGTGTTTGCTTTAACAGGGTGTCATTAACTCTTCTATGTTTTGACAGTGGTTTGACGGTGCACACACGAACAAATTTCACACGATATAGTCTTTGGCAGGCATTTTCTGTACGGGGCAGAATGCTGCAAAGCGTCCGAGTGCGTACAGTTGTTTGCCAATACAAAAAATGTGCTGTCGTCACTCCAGTCGGTTTAATGCACAGTTATTAAAGAGGACCAGTGAAGCACAGTTGTTGGATGGCACCAACTGTAATCTCATATCCACATGAGGGGGTGTTTATTGCAATGCACAAAATGACACAGCTGTCTATCTTTGTGCTGACGACCAACTGATCCAAAGAGGGATTTCAGTAAAATTCAACTGACTCAGTGTCAGCGTCTGAGGCCTTGAGGCACAGGGTATTTGTGGACTCCCTATTCCTACTGAGAAAATGGGTAAGTGATCAGATCACAGACATGTAAGTGCACAGACCGCCAGATTGCATTCAAACTACATAATCACTTCATGATCTGCGCGGCAACCGACTAAAATCAAAACTAAGGAAAAATTCTCCCCTCGGTATAGGGAATTTTAAGCACAGTTGACAAACTCCAGCCCCCCCAAAAATTACACGAAGCTATTTTTTTTACTGTGAGAAAACTCCGTTATTTACTTAAACTGGCCCATGTAGAGTCTAAATGTTGCATTTACAACATTTGAAAAGGAGAGATAGCAGTACCAAAGACCGAAAAGGGAGAACGTATTTTGGGAGCTCAGCACAAGCAAACAAAGTGCAGGCAATGTAAGTGCACTGTGCGTAATGCTCACTGAACGCGCTACCATCCATAGCTTCGCCCATGCTTTTCAAAATCACAGTAATACGCACCAGACTGGCGGTCTGTGCGTTTATGTGTCTGGGGACCAGACTGAGACCGCACACAGCTGCAGAGACTCACCAGGATCTGGTACCAGGAGCTGACTATCTCCGTCAGTGAGTGCTCTCTCATGCTGTCCTTCAACGCTGTGCTCCGCTGGGCATCCTACGGCAGGCAAGGCAGACAACGACCCCATTATTTTAATTCAGAAATGAGCAAAGACTCAGCGGTTCGGACGATCATTCTTTTGGTCCTCCGCTTTTATACTGTCAACAACTTAACACCAGTGTGGTTGGTATGGAGGTCATGATAGGTACAATGTACAATACACTATGCTGCAAAGAAACAGCAGGCGAGAGGTAATTTTTGCAGCTCATTGCAGAAGAGTCAACATCAGAGAGCCACATGAAATTGTTTCTTTTTGGGGGGGGGGATTCACAAGATTTGAGTCGGATTTTCGGGTGAGAATGACGAGTTTGGGAGGCTACTGTGTCTGTGCTATTGCGAGTTATCAATGAGGAACAGATGGCTAACTGCATAATGTGCAACGTATCAACCGTGAAACTGATGACCTCTTCAAGGCAAAAACTGGCAGCGTACTTGTGAATTGTAAATCGCTTTGATTGTAATCCAATCGTCAACTGATCATTCCCCCACTGATACTTCAAACTTGTCTGTTTCGTCCAATTCAACATTCTAACTGAGCTCGCTGTTCAGACTAGAGCTGCTGGTTTGAAAAGCACGGGTCATGTAAGGCGTGCATGCTAATCGTCTCGTTGTAAAACATCTCATCGTGGAAGGCACCTGAGGCTGAACATTATTTTCTTCAGAGAGGAAAAACTGTGAACAGGAAAGTGTCCAATTATTCAAACTGACTCAACCTTAAACATAAGGTGTCAGGGATATTTTGGTTGCACAACTAGAAACAGGTTACACCTGAAATATTACTTGGTAGCTGTTCGACGGAAAGACGTAGTTCCTGCTCTAATTTTGAAGCAGGGTTTTGTTTCAGTAGGCATGCAATGTGCGCCTGACATTTCAGAGGTGAAAATAGACGAGCATTCTCCTGTACCTCCTGGGTGTGCAACAGCTCTCGGTCCACCACGTCCTCGTCAATCGCGATCAAGATGCGCAGGTACATGTCGACGGCCTTGGGGCCGGCGTGCAGGAGCTGGATTAGGTCCCGGAAGAACCCCGGCCAGCGGTGGGGGTAGTCATTGATGAAGAGGAGGGAGAAGAGTTGGGCCGCCTTGTTGCGGATGAAGTTCTTCTCCTCGTGAGTTGAAATGGTCTGCAGGAAGGAAAACGAGCAAGGCTTCAAATACAGGAGCCAGCGACGGAGACAAGAGGCTGGTTTGAATCTTCAATGCATTTGTTGCTGTGTGTCCCACAAAGGGTTTGTCACGCTTGTTTCTGATACTTGCATCTACTCTGTGCCCACACACACAAGTGTGTAAACGCCTTCAATCCTGGACTCCCTATTGTTCCTCTTTTGTCCATACTTTAACTTTTTCGGAAGACCTCCCATATGTTTTGTACATGTTTTCCAAAAGTGGACTCTTCGGCAACCGTGGGCCCTATTGTCCCCTATTGTTATAGGTCCATAATTGAAGGCGTCTACACACTCATAACCACCTAGATCACATGCATGATGCGAGAGACCTTGGGAATTAAACAAAGACTTATCTCCATAGATCTAATAACATGAACCATCAAGGTTTTTGTAAAGCTGAACAAAGAAATTACAAATGCAAACAAGCGTAATGTCCACTATGCAAAAACAAAATCCAAGTACAGGGAAACGGTCATTAATTCTGGGGCTAATTTATGAAAATTCTATTAGACATATCAATCAATCATTCTCCACTGGGGCTAATTTAAGTTAATTTTATTAAACATATCAATCAATCATTCTCCGCTGACTACACTCTGTCTTGGCCGATCTACATTTATTTGACACTGATGCTGTCCAACTTTTGCTATTTCATCCTTGGTCTGCATAAGTTGTTTGCTTTGTTCACTGACAGCTGACAATGACAAATTATTAGATTGGATTAGAGGAAAAATTAATGATCTGGTTAACTGAGCACGGCCTGAACAACTGGCTATGTTGAATCATGGCAGCGTTCTTGTTTCCAAGTTTCTAAGCCAATGATTGGCCCGCATGTGTCTAACTCCTGCGGCGGCCATTTCTGACAGTCCAAATACTGGGCTACATGTAGGGCTGGTTCTAATTTGAGTCCTGAATGACAGATCGCCCCTGGCAACCGCGGTCACTGATTGATGCTTAAAGCTGTCGCAATCCTGTATAGTTTTTTTCTTCTTACCAACTGGGAATCCTGACTGCATGCAGTGACCTGGTTCTACTGACCAAGTCATGGAGGTTTGATGAACTTTGGATGTGTTGGGCATACATGTATGTTAAACTTGGTCACCCATATTTGACGTCATGTATGTGCTTTTCCATCACATTTATTTAGTGTTCAGAGTCTGTACTGTATTTTGTGAGTGGAATCCATCGACAAGGGACTGGCACTGCATTCTTAACCACTTGCTGCCGGGTGGTTTGAAAAACGCAAAGCACATAATCGGGACTTTTCCAAGATTTTCAATTTTTAAATTCTTCAAAAATTCATCATTTCAATTAATGGATGTTTAGACCACACCAATTACTGTCTGGTGGCCACTCTAGTCTGACAGACAAAATCTATTGACGCCCAAGTACTTCAGCCAGGCCTGCAGCCTTGTAAAAAGAGCCCAGATTGTGCAGTGTTATATAACTTTCTTTTGTTCATGAACCTGGCACAGTGCACTGCTGACCACTTTCCAATAGGGCCAGATTAGCATGCAGCGGTGCTGTGTGGCTCATCACTGTGGTGGTGGAGCGCTTTTGTCACCGATGGTAATCCGCTCACTCTAAATGCCCCAAACCGTGGTATACTGTTTCAAAACAAGGCTGGATTATCTCCCCTATTGAGAGTGAAAAATGTCGGTAATGCCCAGCAGCCTGGTTTTTGTTCTGAGTATGGTCTTTTGTTACAAGGCCCAGTTCCCTTTGTCCTATTTCGGGTTTCCCGGCTCCATGTACGGTATAAAGTCTGCGTTCTCGAAAATGAGTCCCTTGGCAGCAAGTGGTTAACAATCAACATCCATAAACTTTAAGCTGTCACTGGTTTCCATCGCTGTCTTGGCTTCCTGCACTGCTATCGTCGGTAGCCTGCTCATGGCTTTTTGTCTCACTGACAATGTCATGATGCATAATTCTGTGTGCATCTCTGACACTTTACCATGTGTCACTGCCCTGGAAGTTGTCATCCTGAAGTGCTTGTCATTCGCTGTGAAATGGTTTGCCTTTGTTGTCTTTGATGTTGTGTGCTGCCTGTCAATGTAATGCTTCTGTACTCGTGTGTCATGACGCTTCTCCACAGTCTCTCATGCTATCTGGATTTGTCGGTGAATGCTATGTCATACATGTACGTGATGTCGTTTTCTCATTATCTAAATGCCACTAGGGGTGCGCATTTATGGGTAAAGAACCGGAAACCTGCTTTGGGTACCCGTCCTTAAAAAATAGAGTAGACTTTGCATGCAATCCCAGCAGACCATGTTCCCGAAACGGGGCTCTTCTGTCCTACGTAGGAAGCAGCACGTTGCTCTCAACATTAGAGGGGAATCTCCTCTAACTTTTATTCAACAAAGTGTTACTTTTAATTTGGACCAAAAGTAGCTCTGTCGATTTCTGAACCCGAGTTGTGACCCTGGGACCGGGTTTTTCAGTGGCACAGTGATTTTTCAGGCCTTCATTATTGAAGTTCACAAACATTTTTTATCTGTTTTTTTTTTGGGGGGGGGGTTACGGGTACCTGGCCTGACGAAAAGGAACCAGGCTTTGATATTGACGGGCAGGTACTTGAGTACCCGGCACAGGCCTACATATACATGCCACCTTGTGCCCTTTCTGTAATGTTAAGCAATTGTATGAGGCAGGGTTTTACCATTATTTGTAACACTGCATGTGTTTGCATCGGCAATGCTACATGTATGTTAATATCTCTAAAACCATATCATCCATGACACACATTGCATCGCATACTAATGAAAACAGTGCACAATTATAATTGGTCATTTGTTGACCATCTGAGCTGCGAGTAGCCTTTAGAAACGTAAATTCACACTTGCACTAAAATATGCATAAGGGCTGACGATAGGCAAGCGTATGCATGTCATCTTTCATATACATGTGTCCACACACTCATAAAAGCAGCTGCAGGTGCCACAGAATGTTAGATTACTTCTAAGGCCACGAAATGTTTTAATTATCAATTCTACTGCTAATTATTAGCATTTTTGCAATTCAAAACAGTAATCTCATATGCTAACTTGAAAGAAAAACTACATGTACATGTACCGGTGCTGGCCTTCAGTGGCTCTACAACCTGACGATCCAATATACATGTACATGTATTAGCATTGTAATGGGGACACAGAATATGATCACTGTCGTTCCAAAAAAAGGCTGAGGGGATTTTCGGGCTTTGCTTTCACCAAAACCTTGTTTTACAGCAAAAGACTTGCAAAAGAAGGGAAAACAAGAGATTTCAATGGACTTGGGACCCCAGAATTGGCTCTTTGTGACTGGATTATGCCATTGGAGTGCTCCGTCTCAACAGTCGACTGTACTTACGTCAGAAACTATATTCACCAACATTTCTTTGTAAGGTGCTCATTACATTATGACCCATTTCGTTGTGAAAACCCTCCGGGGGAGGGGGCGTCATGTCGTGCCTGGACTTCTTACCTGCATTTGTAGCCACTGTAACAGCGACTGCTTCAAGATCTGTTGGTCAGATGGGATGGCAGTGGAATATCTGATGTAGCATTGTTTGAAAGGAGGAGAAAAAGACAAAATGACAGTCGTTTAAAACTCTGGAATGTCTTCACTGCTGCTGTTATCGGATCAGTGCACAACAGAGGGTTTGCATGGCTGCCATCTTGCAGGCCAGTGCTTCTGTTCCACAGGGTATGCACAAAGGAGGTTTCTCTGTGGAACAAAAGAACTGCCCTGCAAGATGGCTACCATGCAAAGCCTCTACAGGCCAACTGGGTACATTGTATTTCAATGAGGCAAGGCCACCTGGGACAAAACCATGGCAGCTAAAAACAACTCCGTGCCTGTGAATCACTGTGTGGCCCTGCTGACAGACCCAACCTCAGTTGAGCGTACCAGTTACTCTCAATGACCTATGCTCTATTTCATGATGTGCATGCACTGAGGGAGTACCGAACTGGCTTTAAGAATCTCAGACCCCCTAAAGTGTGCACATGTATGCATAGAAATTCTGATATTAACATTAGGAGGGTCAGGGAAATAGGCAATATCAACATGCAACCCCAAATTCATTTTTTCCAGCCTATATTCGAATGGTTGCTTTCCCATACCGTACACGAAATGCTTGTCTGCACCTGATTATAATTAGAGGCTTGGGCTCCTGAAATCTTACGCCCACAATTCATCACGCGAGCTTCCTTTTTCCGACACATTTCAACCCAATTATGCACCTCCACTGTTCTGTGTGATCAACTCGTGGATTCTGCGGCCTGTAATGATGCCTTTAAATCAAACTTAATTATTTCAGGACTTGAGACAATTTCTGGAAACTTGGTCACCGTGTAATTTAAATGAGACAACAGCCCCAATTTCCTCCTCATTAATGACAGTTAATTCCGTTTACTCTTCGTTTTTTTTTTTTCAATTAAAGTATCGGATGTGATGTTACAAAATCTTAATTGATGCATTAAAGGTACATCTGTCTAAACTACAGGTCCAAAAGAAAGTGGGTTTAACATATAATAAACGTCTTTCCGGCTTGAAAATTGGTGAATAATCTTGCATTTCCTGCCTTGCGACAGAAAAAAAAGAAGAAGGAAAAGACAGTAATGGTGCCTACGGATATTATTGTGAAGTCAGTGTGAGCAACAGAACCAGTTGGTTTAGGGAATTACGAGGCTCTTTGTTAGTCTCCCTAGCGGAGAATCTAGGACAGATTTTCAACCAAGTCTCCAGTACAAAGTCCTGCTGGTATTAAAGTATACAGATCAGCAGAAACACAACAAAAGGGACTGGTACATAGTCTGTGAGACTCATGCATACTGCGTACATTATAATTATTACTTCACACTTTAGCTGAATCTAATATCAAGATTACAAAAATAATTTTTATGGAGGTGTGATGCAAATGGTTTTAAGTTTTGTTTCGCTTTTGAGGAATAATTCTGTTGGAGGTTCACAAAAGGTTCACCTTCAAACCCAAATTCTGTACATCTGAACTTTTTTCTCAACACTTTTTGACTTCTTTAATCCCTGACCCCTCCAGTTCCCTCTAGGAAGCCTGCTGAGCAAAGTGAAACAGTTGCTTTGGTGGCAGTGTGCACTGGATCAACTCCAGCCTAGGTGGAGTCAAGTCACAAAGTCGGGCTGAGTCAATTCGAGTAATTCACTATTCGAATATTCGACCTTCAGTTCGAATGAATATCGCAATATTCGGTTGAGACGACCAACAGATTGTTGATGAACAAACCATATTAAAAATCAGTTGCAATTAGACACAAAATTGTACATTATGATCAATATAAAAGCATAACATGGAGCTTTATACGTCTGGGAGTATCTCCAGCCACGATTTTACAGCAAGATTTAAGAGACAAACAATACTTCTTGCCCTGCTGAAAATTTCTATTCTGTTTACAATTTTTCAATGAATAATTTACTTCTGAATCGTTAGATTTCTGTTGCTTTTCATTTGAATCAGCTTGAAACAAGCCTCCATACTGCAATTTTTCTCATTTAAAACAAATCTAAATTCTCCCTTTTCACAAATTTTGCATTCAAATATTTAAATTCGGAAAATAATATTTGATAACCAATTGAATATTCAGATATTCAGCACAGCCCTATAATACAGTGTATAAATGTACTGCCAGCACCAGCAGTTGGGTTCTACCATCCCAAACCCTACAAAATCCTTCAAAACCTCTTGAACAATCTGCAAGTATTCAAATTGATCGATAATACACCAAATGGATACTTCAATGGATATGCACATTACCCTCGCTGCTGAGAGACTGCTCCCATGTACATGTATTAGAGACGAAAACAAGAAATAATCAATTTCCACGGGTCTACGCTCACCACGTGAAGTCTACGAGTGTGCAATCTCATCAAAGCCTTGTTGTGACTGAGATGAAATTGCTAAGTGCTATGTGCACAAGCACCAGCATTTTGACAACATCGAAACTGAACAAAGCTCATGAACATGTACACATACAACTGTTCATCACACAGGCACCTGTACACGTGTGTCTGTGATTGAAGTTTCTAATTTTTAATTAATTAATTTAATTTACTTAATTTTTCACTGCAGGACCCCAATAGAAACCAGCACTATTTGGTGTTTGTGGCCATCCTACATGCAGGCCTGTACGTCCATGGTGCCATCTAAAACCTTCTGGGGCAGGTAAATCAGCATCACTTCTTTTAAGTCCTACTTTTCCTTCCCAGTAGCTTTCTAAGAGTTATAAATTAATTTGTTGGGGGAGGGGGAAGTGGTTAGTTGTGCGAGAGAGAAAAGGGAAGAGATTAGCTGGGACAGTTGATGACAACATTTGCTCTGGAATTGAAACAAGTATATTTTATTTTTAGAGGGAGTGGGTAGGGGTTGGGCCTGCATGAAGTGAGAAGAGGCGTTAACTAACCTCTAGAATTGGATTGGTTAATTAAATTTGGCATGAGAACAAAAATGTACCTGAGAAAGCAGAAATGACACAAGTATGGGTCAATAAATACAGGCAAATTTGAGTGTTCTGACCTGCGCCCTGGAATAACTGTATACATCCAACTGACCTTGTTTTGAGGAAGTTCTCCAGGACTTGGAAGCAGAAGAACTTGATGTGGTCGCTCTCGTACATCCCCTGAGTTACGGCCTCCGTGCACAGCTTCCATCCCTCGTCCGACTGCTTCAGCTGCTCGAAGTAGGCCAGGGCCTGCGTAGGGACAGAGTTTGGGGCAATTACATTCTCAATGAACGGGGGCAGGTGCAAGAAAGCCATGGTGGGTGGCGGGAAGGTTTGGTAGTTGTTGATGTGGTGCCGGTCGAGAATGAACATGGGCCTGGACTGTGAAGGGACCGGGAACTCTTGAAGGCCAGGGCGTTTGAGTGTCACAGAGAAAACGACTTGGTCTCCAAAAAAAAATAATAATTCACCAGTTCTAGTTCTCAAAGTTAAGTGGTAGGCGTGGTGAGGGCTGACAACACAATCTGCAACTACAAGAGCACTCTGTGCCCAAGTCTAACGTTTTCCCTTCTAAAGCACTAACACATGTTTCCCGTGGGTAGAATTTTTGGCAAGGATTTTTCCTCTACGCGATGAGGTAAAGACAAGTTTAATCAGTCTCTCATGGGCTGGTGAGACTGGCGCCCAAATGCTGTAGACGTTGAAAAGTAGAAAGTTCAATCCCACTCGGATTGCCTCCGATGTCTTCTCTCTCGTAATGTAGTAAAACTTCTGCCACGGGTTTCCACAGATTTTTGCATATGAATGAACCTCTGAAAGAACACAGCAGAATCGTCTCCACTCATTTGTATCAGTGGACGGGAATAGGCTCAAACAAAACGATAATTTCAGAAGCACAATGTAGAACCTTTGCAGAAAGCAATCACAACGACCACGTACAAGACTTTGCAACAGTTCATCATGTTCTGTTCTCAAAAAATGCACAGCCAAATTCTAATCATCAATCACAATTTATGCAGTGCCAAACATTCCCCAAAGGTATTGTCGGGATGTTCCGGACCCCAGCAGGAAACGCAGAAGAAATGATAGGTGGACACTTCTCTGCCTGCATTCCAGCAAGGAGTGACAGCGACTCAACAACAGCACTGCTCCCAGTGACTCAAGACGTAATCTGGGGATTGACTTCAAACAAAACGAGCAGGGCGTGGAGTAGATCACGATGTATCTCACAAAACAACGGTGATCATCCCAAGCCAGGATCGGGAAAAATATACAGCTGGGATCATGTGACCCATGGATTAAGGCGCACAGGGACCTTGAGGGTTGCGGAGACGAGTGATAAATACCAGCACAAACCATGACTCATGCAAAATGTGTTACAGTAAAAAAAAAATGGTGAAAACTGGGTTAAATTCAGTTCCTTGGTGCCTAACTTCACAATTTTAGGGGGTTTATGAGCCCAGGGGACCAGCCTGGACTCATTACATCCTGGCGTACAGGTACAGGTAAGCATGCCCAACATGACAGAGGAACCCACAAAATTCCCACCGAACATGTATGTACATGTATGTACTTGAGAAGGCAGAGTTGAACCAGAGGAACCTAACCATAATTTATGACCAGATTTATGAAAGGAAGTGGGACACAACTGACTGAAGTCAACATCTCGCTGGGGTTTTTCACCGTGTTTCCCTTGTTCCTGTTCCCTTGCAGTCAACTACATGTAACAATCTCCCATATGACCATGCTGGCTCCCCAGTACATGTACTCTTTCCCCGATCCGGACTGGTTAATTTCTTGGCATGACCCTGAATGACTGGAAGACTTCCAAGTTGATTGAAAGCAGCAGACGAATACGGGCCTTGCGAGGGTGCCAGGGCACTGCTTTACCTCGACACTGCAAAGTGAGTTTTCTGGGTGGAAACATTTTGCTAATCCTGGCCAAATTGCCAGGGGATGTATGCATTTGCTCATGATTTGATTCCCTGCCATGCTGTTCTTGTTAAGCAAATTTGGGAATGAAAACTCTGAACTTAAAAACTCTGAAAAGCTAGACATAATCCTTTTAAACTGTTCACTGTGTGGGTACATCAACTGTACAAGTAAACATGGGCAAGACAGCTTTAGCAAGAGGGAACATAGCTCACTGAGTCAGCAAAAGCATTAGCAAGTTAGAGGACCAAATGACATGGCAAATCTACCACCACTTTGACCTGATGTGAACCAACGCTGCCAAAAATTGTGTGATTTCTCAACTGCTCCATTTAAGCATTTACAACGCTCAACCCTGACTGGCCGAGCCTGTGCAGCACCAGCGCTGCGGTCCCACTGCCGCCGATGACTCGACTGGGATCGCAAAAAAAACCACAGGCTTCCCCCGTGTGGCGGCACAGGCTCTTCCTAGTCGGCAGGTTAGGGGCCGCTGTTGGCGCGTGTCATCAATCTTACCCTGGCATGACTGGCCTGGTCGGCTAGAGGCCCCAGTCCTTGTAAGGCTTGCTCATCCATGGCACCCTCTGTCCGTCCTCCCTGGTACCCGGCACTGTCATAACATCTGTTCCACAGACTACAGAGAATGAAAGACAAGCACACACCACAGAGTCACTCAACAACGGACCAAATCGAATCAGAGAATGGGTGGAGTCATTTGTTACCCCTGGTGATCTTCCTCTATCAACACCTGTAACAGTACGTTGTACGTTACAAAACCTTGTACAGTGCAAGGCTGTGCCAATTCAAATAACTGAATATACTATATGCAAATATTCAACCGATCATGCACATTTGTGTGGTGGTCTAACTCATTAATTTTGAGGACATGGGTGTGTCCCCAAGTTGGAGGAGGCTGGGAGTCCAACTGATGTTCAGTCTAAATGAGTGATTTATTCCTTTAGTCCGACTGAGTTCCCACACCACAACGGGTGAAAGCAAAACATAAAAAAAAACTTGAAGTAAAGGTCCATGTACATATTTGGCCTTATCATTTTTATCAAATTCTTTTTTCCTTTTTCATTTAACTAAGTTTCACCTACCCGAACGAATATTCAATTTAAAAAATAAATATTTGATAGTTGATCAAATATTTAAACAACTGGCACAGCCCTAGACTTGGTGGCAAGTTGGAATATGCTACATGAAACAAGAGACACAAAAACTCTAATGTCGATTTACTCAGCTCTTTTTGAGAACCAAATTTACAAACAAGATACAAGTGCACTTGGTGTCATAGCAAACTTTACATTGTGACTTCCCATCATTCCAACTTTCTCAACTCTTAAATCAAATCAAAAGGTCTTGATGATAAGTGTTCTTGGTTGTTTGCGTGTGTTTGTAGCTACTTTAAGCATGCAAGTCACTCAGCTTACGGGTAAGTTGGGTAAACATGTCTTTTATCAACAAAATGCATCAAATATCACAACTTTTTTCATCAGCACTTCCCGACTTTCACAAAAAAGTAGATCATGAATAACTACTCTATAACCATCTTTTCAAAACAATACATTATTTTTCGTATTCACTAAATATTTTGGGGTTTTCAAAGTTGAGGTACGAGTTGGGGCAACACACGTGTACATGTAAAGATTTCCTAATCTGGACAAGTGTGTTCAAAAGGGCTGGATTGCCTGTATCATTGGGCCTACGTGTAGTTTACACATACTGTGCAGTCAAACCTCAAACATGTAGACAGGAGGATTGTTAATTTATACAACATTCTGCTTATAAAAACAAAATGCTTAACGAGGTTCAACTGTACACAGGCTTTACTGCCCCCAATGTACCAGCCATCGTTAATTTACAGCACTTGTCAAGGATGTCAAATATCACGTTGACGGTTGACCCTGAGCTGTATTGTACTGGTCACTCGGAGGCTTTCTCAAATCAAAACTTCAAACAAAGATGCTAAACCTTTCAAAACTACATTTTCTGGTGCTGGCGTTTTTCACAGGCCTTCAAATCTTTCGTTCATGTACATGTAGGCCCCACATGAACATCAGCCCTTGGTACAGCTGCTGTGCCTACTGGATACTCTGACCCTGATGAAAACATGAAAATGGCTTAGAATAAGTTTAATATGCGTCAGTGTCATGTTCACTGGCCATTGTGGCCAATACATGTACATGTGCCAGAGCAGGTAGTCCTTTGTCGAGGCACAAGTACATATATGTATATACAGTATCCCTATGCAAAGCCACATTCTTGACACACTGATTGGACATCAGTCAAAACCAGTCAAATTTCCCATATGTGTCTGTGTACTTGGGGGAAATCAAAAGGAGGGGAATTTTTTTACTGTTTTTGATGGTTACAGCAAAAGGAGGGATACTTGTGCATAAATTTTTAATGTACATGTACAGTACAAATGTACATGATTTACAGTATGTGTACAGGTACTGTATATTCAAGATATTCTCCAACCTTCTCTGGCAATCTCAGTCCCCACAGACGTGACTGTGCTACATGTGTAAGCCTGGCTGCATGCTTCACTGTCGTGACACCGATGACTCCACCCTTAACAGGCCCTGAACTTGGTAGGATGGTAAATCCCCAGGTATCACTCTAATGAAAAACTTCACACGCACTGGCCATTTCAGCCCTTCCCTCCCACTTCCATGGGATCCCGGTCAGGATATCTCTCAGGAAGTTGTTGATCAGCGGAAAAACTCAGCCGGCTTTACAGCTGGCAAATTTGATTTCCTGTTCTTCGGGGGGACGGATTCAAAGGCAGATTGATGCAGACGTCATAAGCCACATGGCAGAGCACATCTTTGGAGCTTCATATTATGGCATGTACAATTGCCTGGGATGACTCCTACTTGGCATAAATACAAATTATACAAGCATACATACGTGTACATTTGTATCCACACATCTCTGTACATTAAATAACATCTTTGCACACATGCTGTGCAGTGAGAGACATATATGTTCAAATGGTGGCTTTTGCCAAACAGTTGTTGACGGCTGTGATGTGGGACACAGCGTTTTCTGCATCCAAGGAAGGCAAGCAGGAATCATCCTTGACTGGGAAGTTCCTAGCAGTCGGTTGTTATGGTACATGTATAAAGT